CGCGCTAGCCTAAGGGCCACCTTAGCAAAGCGCATCCCAGGCTGCATAGCCGCACTACCCTACCCAACCATACCACACATAAACATGACACTACCCCCGGGGTTTACACAGACGAGCCGGCGAAGCAAGAAGAGCGCCAGAAGAAAGGGCCCTAGCCGGCGGGGCCCAGCCAGGACAAAAGGAGGTCCCACAAAGCGCCTACACCGGCCGCATTTGCGGTCGGGGTAGACGACGGATGGGGCCCACCTACGAAGGCTGTCCAGGCCTACACGAGATGAGGCAGGATAAAGAGGGATAATCCCCCTCGATCCCAAATCATTGAGGCCAATTTCTAGCCATAGAATAATGGCGAGTTATCTTGTTCTTATATATTTTATTAGTGATTATTTATTTATAAGACTATACCCAACAAATGGTTAATATGTTAATAATGAAATAAAAATTATAGTAAACTTACATTTTAAAATCTGCTTAGAAAATAAATACGCTTTCGTAATTTTTTGAAGAAATTTTTAACATTCAGACCGATTTTATAATCTAATCTAAATTATTTCTGCTGGAATCTAAATAACTAAACATGTATTTAACCAAAAAATGAAAACTTCTCTTAATAAAATAAACTCAATTTGCCTGTAACACTGCTACATAGCTAACAATCTCTTTACCTTGGATTACAATAATTAATCAAAAATTAATGTAATTAAAAGTATTAAAACCACGAAAAAGAACAGTTTAGGTTTACCATTCTACTGAAGGCCTTTCGATTTGGTAAAAATAGTAGCTATCTGTCAGCACCTAATAGCAACTTAGTTACTCTGAACTGATATTAGTTGCTAAGTTACTAATTGTGCGAGGGAGACAGACCGGTTCTCACTATGGCTGTCTCACTCTAACACGCCGCGATTGGTTGGAGCCAGGGAGACTAGACAAGAAGCACGAATTACACGGGAAAATTGACAAAATTTGTCCAAGAAATGGCAGAAGTTGGGGTGTCGCTAGTGTTCCATGTGGGTTATCCAACCTTCATTTTCAATGAATGCGCGTATTTAAACTAGTTAAATTCAAAAATTCTATTGTTGTGGGCCGTAACTGATATATTACTAAACTTCTAAAATAATTACAATGAGTGACGTTGTACCTATTGTTGGGTTTCTTCAAATTGCCGGGCAAGACATTACGATTAATAGGGATGGAATGTTGGGGCAAGAAAGGACAAGCCAGCAATCGATTTTTCACTCGTCTTTTGAATTTATGTGGCACTTTATTATATTAAATATTAATTTCACAATATAATATCCCTAAAAATGTATTTAATTTATATATGAAGATATATATGAAAATTCTCCATTCTCTATATATATATGAACATTCGGAATATATGCTGCAAGTATGCTTTAATTCATGTTTTTTGTGAACTGTTCACCTCGCAGGTATAAGCAATCTAATATAGTACATACAGGAACAACTACATATAACCTTAATGTAGTTAGCAAATGATTTCCGTAACTACGAATTAATTTTGTAAATAAAACAATTAATTACAGAATTAGCACAAACGGTAAAATAGTTAAGAATGAAAAAGCTGTGTAGGAATTTTAAATTTTCTAATCGGTAGTCGGAGGGAAATTTCTACACCACTGAATTTCCCGAACTTTACATTTTTTTTGTCCGAGTTTCTGCAGAAATATATTGGTTCACAAGTAACTGTGTTACCATCAAATCCATTGTGCAGGTATTGCTATACTCGCTACACCAAGAAATTTAGTGGTTCATTTGAACGATCAGTCACCATAATATGAAACTCGAGAAAACAATGCAAATGTTTATGTTCCTGAAGGTGAAGTTGTTGATGTGTTGAACATTAACATTTCTGCATATCACCCTGTGTAATACAAGATAGAAAGATGATCAGTGAAAGCCATAGTGTAGGACAACTATGTGTTTTAATGGTATTCACCGTATGTCTATACGGTAATAAATTAACAAAATATTTAAAAAATATAAATTCACAAAATAAATTCAAACTGGAATTACAAAAATTTCTTCTCCCCTGGGCTACTACTGGGTTGGTGAGAATATTAGTCATTAATGATTTTACGTAACAAAAAAATATACAAGTAAAAATAAAAATAATATAATTTGTTGAAATTATAAACCATTTGTCAATCAGCAAACTGTCACATTGTGAGAAATAGGAAAAGTGCGGACTTTCCATATTACCAATTTCTACAAATGCTAGTCTAAAATCACTTGTCGGCTTTCAACCCATGTTTTTCAAGGCTGGCCTTGTCACTCTTAAATGCTTCCATTTTTTGACCGTATTTTGTATTTTGGTGGATGGTAATTCACTTTTTCCGTGCAACAATTGAGGTCTCTTCAAGAATCTTTACACCTGGTTGATAGCAGATCAGTGGTACATTTGCATTTAAGAAGGCTCTCTATATTCCAACACGTGATAATAACCCCAGTATTTAGTTTCGAAATTGTAAAGATCTTTATGCTTCAGTTGGTGCAGTTTGATAGCATACTTATATTTAGTTCTGTACACCTGTAAGTTTAAACCAGTGATGTATATTTGCGCCTCAAAAGATGATGAGTAAAATTAAGCTTGTACATCGATTCATAATCACAAACACTACACCTAAACTTGTGAAGGCCTCTTATGTTTCAACACGTGACTTTTAATATCTTTTTTATATTTCGTTTCGTAATCGCAGTCATTACACTTGTACATTTGAACCTGCGAAGGATCTTTATGTGTCAGTTGGTGCTGTTTGATATTACTCTTGTATTTAGTTTTGTAATTGCAGTCATTACATCCGTACATTTGAACTTGCGAAGGATGTTTATGTTTCAGTCGATGCTGTTTCATAGCATTTTTGTTTATAGTTTTGTAATCGCAGTTGTGACACTGGTATATCGCTGAAAGATCTTTATGTCTCAGTTGGTGCTTTTTGATATAACCCCTGTATATAGTTTCGTAATTGCATTCGTTACACTTATATATTTGAACTTGAGAAGGATCTTTATGTTTCAGCTGATGCCGTTTGATAATACCCTTGTATTTACTTTTCCAATTGCAGTCATTACACATGTACATTTCAACCTCTGAAGAATCTTTGTGTTTCAGTTCGTGCTGTTTTAAAGAACTGATATAACTGGTTTTATAATCGCAGTCGTTACACTTGTACATTTTGACCTGCGAAGGATCTTTATGTTTCAGTTGGTGCTGTTTGATATAAGCGATGACATTAGTTTTGTAATTGCAGTCATTACAACTGTACGTTTGAACCTGCGAAGGATCTTTATGCTGTAGTTCGTGGTTTTTAAAATTTGCCTTGTATTTAGTTTCATATTTGCAGTCATTACACTTGTACATTTTGACCTGCGAAGGATCTTTATGCGTCAGTTGGTGTTTTTTCATATTACGTCTGTGTTTAGTTTCGTGATTGCAGTCGTTACACTTGTACATTTTGACCTGCGAAGGATCTTTATGTACCAGTTGGTGTCTTTGAACACTAGCTTTGTATTTACTTTCGTAATCGCATTCGTTACACCTGTACATTTGAACATGTGATGGATCTTTATGCCTCATCTTGTGACTTTGAAGTAATTTCTTATTTCCATTTTCATAATCGCACCTTTCGCGCTTGTACACTTCCAAATCTTTCTCGTGCCTCTCACAGTGTACTGTGAAGCGTCTCTCGCTTCCAGTTTTGTAAATGCATTTGGCACATTTGTACAATGCTTTGAGCTCCTGCTTGATTTTCGTTTCTGATCCATTCTCATGTTTACATCCTTCCTCGTCTGCATCTCTCCAGTCATTATTCTCGGATGGTTCATAATCGGAAGTTTGCAGTAGCGTGTCTCTGAAAAAGTTACATATACAGGGTATTTTCAAAAGCAAGGTACAAATTTAAAGGGGTAAATGGAATTATAAGTTTTTGAGTACCGTAAGGCATTATTTCATTTTTATTATCATGTAAATAAAGTTTTAATAACAAGACAGAGTTTTTTTTTATTAAGAATTTTCTTTCAAGTATTTATATTGGAGCTGGCGGTAGCCGAAGCGGCCAAGGCCCGCCGACGGAGACTGACCAGGGCTGCACGACAAAACCATAGTAGGTTCGTATTCCACCGAATTTTCCTGTCGTATCCATGGATGTTTGTGATTGTTAAGATGAAGGGTAGTGTAAGTTAGCAGGCCGAAAGGGCCAAGCATGGCTTAATTGCTGGTAAGCTTCATGACCTTTACCTTTTTAAGTATGTACTTATATTTATTAGGAGAAAAAAAAGGTAATCTATAAAAAAAAGTGTGCCTTTGTTCAACTGACAAAATTAATCAAATTAAATTGAGTTTAAATAGGCAACAGGACACAGAAATACTATTTATTGAAATTTTCATGACTTCCAATTCGAAGAGAAAAAAGTTCACTACAAGAGAAAAAAAGTGTAATAGCAACATCAAAGAAAGGCTGGTTCGAATATGTTTATAACATGTATTCAAGATCTTTGGGATTCACGATTTCCATTTATTTTGTTATTTTTGCATATTTTATTATTTTTGACCCAATATGCATAAATAAATGCCAAAACTTGCAATAGAAATTTGGCAACAGTGCACGAGTATTACTTATAAGTTGGCTGTCCTTGTCATGTACATCGGTGTATATATGATGCTATGCTATATGATCGCTCGCTGATAGGTGTAACCTATAAAATGTCGGATGAAAAACAAAGTCGATAGAGCGGAAAATTTGTGACCAAAAAACAGTACGATTGCTTGAGAGTTAGAACAGAAAATAGCAAAAGCAGGGAAAAAGCTTTTGAAAAGGAAATTCTGGAGCCGGAACCTCCGCACACCGTGCGAGAGCATCAACTAATCGACAAAGAGTATGTATCTTTTTGCAAAGAACTTTTACGTATTTTAGACTATCTACAAACTGGGATCACGAAGTGATTCGCGTGGAAAAGTTTAAATATGATTCAGTTACATGCATAAGTAGCATACTACTACGGATACACTTCTGTGAATACAAATGTTCCTTATAAGACAAGGGTTTAAAGTAATTACATTTATGAAAGCGTAAAACAATTTGATACATGTAGTACTATACTGGGCATACTGTGATACGGTGTTATTGCAGACAAAAATATTCTAAAAAATATACTTAAGTTATTGAATGTTAAATTTAAAATGAAAAATGATATTAAAAATGTCATAATTTATCCAAATGCGTAAGATTGTTATATGTGCTGTGGTGAAAAGTATAAATATTTCATTGTTTATATGCTGCTGTATTTTTTACTTCTTGTATTGAAAGTTTATCGTACTTTATAAATAAAAATATTCCAAAAAACATACTTTATTTAAATTTCCCGCCACCTATTCGTTGCTTCTTCGCATTTATAATTTGACGGACGACAAATCAGAACTTTTTATGATTGATGATTTATTTCTCTGTGAAATGTGTGGTAATCTACATTTTTCTTTCTCTCACCTATTAATTAATGATTCAGGTAAATGTCTATATTTTTTTCGTCTTACCATTTGCATTTTTTCACCCATAATTCGATTGTAAGCATATGCATCCGATCTAAAGCCATATTGACTATTTTGTCAAGATCTTATGCTTTTCCCAAATAATTTGTTAACCAAACTTTTAATAATTGTTCAAATATTATTGCTACATTGTTTATAACCAACGTAAACCTTTAATTTATTACAATTTGTATATCACCAGCTCCATGAAGTGGCGTAGTAATTGACTGCTTCCAGTGGGATGATAAGTTTCTTTTTTGGTAACACGTTAATATTAAAAATTTTATGATATATTTATGCACCAATTTAGTTGTATGAATGACAAAGTACAGGTATTTTTTAGATTTATGCTAATAATCTTCACTCACCTTGTTTCCTCATCTTCATCTTTTATGTTCACACATTCAGTTTTGATCGACATTTCCATCTCGTTAATATCGAATTTACTGTCCAAGTCTTCAGTCTTAAAGAATAAATCAGTTGGCGGCTTATCTATTCGAATATCTATGGCTGGACTATCGAAACTACATTTAATTTTTTCCTCTACTTCTCTTAAGAAGAGGTTGTGGGTACACAGAGAATCAAAGCATGGCTTACACACAACAGGTTCTTTGATGATATTTATATCCTGCAAAGTAGTTTTTTTAAACTGCGATAAATGCAAGTATTTAATATCGTTTATACCATTTCAGGAATCAATTTCTGAATAGCTTCGTGTTCCTCTTCACTTATGCACTTAAACTCACTCTTTGGTTGCATACACAATCGACATATTTTCTGACTATCTGAAATATCCATCGACTCGCTTCCCTTCTCCTTCGTGTACACTTCTCTTATATGAAGCTGTAACATTTGTTCGCTATCCATATTTGGAATAATTGTATTGTCGTTATTTAAACATGTTGACTTAAATTCTAATGCTGCATGTAATTTTCTTCTGCAAGCATTACATATAACCTCCTTGCTTTCACCATCCAGTTTCTGAAATGTATGCAACTTTGATCAAACAGAATGAAAGTAATTAATTACAATTGAAAATAGATTGTTAAATCGTTTTACACTTGTTGAGACTGTGGTGTTAATCGAGATAGTAGGATCTAAGATACTTCACCGACTTACCAATTTTAACAAAAGCACATGTAGAATGTCTCTAGTAGCGTTGTCTATTACTTCAAAACTTTTATCGGTTATAATTGTACGACAAAGCCTGCACAAAGTTTCTTGAAGACCACTCATTGCAACAATTTTCTTTAAAATGTATATAGCACGAAAATTGTGGTGTACTTATGATAAATGATAACCTAACCTCAATTAAAGAAAGCATTTCGGTATCGGAGACATACATTAAAAGACGCAAGGTGCCCTCCAATCAGGAACAGGTGGGTGTGGCGTTTAAACCGTCAATTTTAAATGACAATTAATGCCAAGGCGCGAAAACCAAAGTACCTGTTTTCTTAACCCTTAACCTTAGTTATATGTTTTGTGCAATTGCAATTTCAATCAGCATACACTTAACAGTTCTTGCTTGTTATTTGCACAGATTATAAAGGATTTACTTAATTGTTGACAAAACATTAGTATAAAGTTGTTGACACATATTTAAAACAGCAATTTTCATTGTTGTAATTAACTATTACTTGTGCACTTAGTCCCCGCAACATGGAAATGATCAAGTAAGTATTATTCTAATCTAAAAGTGAAGCTACAAGATTCATTTTTTTATTTTTGTATGTTCGCTTTAGTAAAATTTGTCAAAAGGAATTCTCCAGTATATCCACAAAAAATAGACACATAAGGACCTTCCACGATGAAGTAACGGTAGAGAAGAAGAAACTCCAATGAATTCGGTGTCCATTGAAAAGAAATTCAGTTGCTGTGAACGTTTGATAGATCATTTGAAACAATGTCGTAAGGTAAATATAAGGGAATCTGTTTTGAGTTTCAGGAATTTTGAACACTTTGAAGCGTGGAGAGCATTAGACAATAGAGATGTGGATTGTGCGTGTTATAGAAGATGTAAAATGGTGATGAAGACATACATTACAATTGTAATACAAGTGATTCTAGAAGTAGCTATTTATATAAACATCTGAAGAACAATGTAATATGTATTACTTACATTTTTTTAGGATTTACCCATGTCACAAAAGAAACATTAAATTAGGAGGCAGCATTCGAATTCAAGGAACTTACATTTTTTTTAGGATTTACCAGTACGTGTCACAAAAGAAACATGAAATTAGGAGACAGCATTCGAATTCATGGAACATACCCATCAAGAATTGTTGTGAAAATCCAACGAAATGGTATTTATTTGTTTCATTTGAAGTAAAATTTGTTGAAACGTACGAGGGACATGTAGACGAGTTGAGAAGTAAGCATCTATTAAAAACTGAACAGAATACCCTTGTCCGACAATTGCTAGTTAAATTCAGAATTTCTATCGTTGTGCGCTGTAACTGCTATACCTATACAGGGTGCTTCACGTAACCCGTTCATTAAAAGTTTTTAACTTCCAGTTACAATAGATCTTTGAAATGTTGACAACTGTCTGGGTTTAATTCAGTCTTTGTTAATGAAATATTTTCATCGCAAATTAACGGAAGTTCCTCTTTTATAAATAATCGCGATTATCTCCGAACCCGTCGAATATAAGTACAGGAAATCTCTATATCAATCGACGCAGAATTTAATTCTACATATTCCTGACCATAGACCACCTAGACTGGCTGTATCTAATTCCAATGCACGGGTACTAGTTAATGCAAATCGCACGGAAGCGGAGGGAAGGTAATCTGACCACGCCTAGTTTGAACAAATCCGGATTAAGTAATAATTTTATTACATATTAACATTATACTGCATCTTATAACAAATACTCAATTTCAAGTTTCGAATTCAGAAAATAGTATATTTTAGTTTCATATTAAATAAAACTACAAAATAATTTAAATAATTTATTGTCCTTTAAACAACGTTAGTTTATTCAATATTTGCCTTTTCGTAGATTTTACCGAATTAAATATTTTGACTTCATTATTTATTCTCACATCAATATACTTTTCACATTCAGTCCTTACAAATTCTATTAAATGATTACAATTATTAGGGAAATTATCAAATTTTCAAATATGTTCACATTCAAAAAGATTTTTAATACATAATATACAATTTTATTGTTCTGTAGCTTGGATGTTCTGCTTTCACAGTATTAAAAAATTTTATTAATTTTTCTGCTTCTTAGCATATTACTACGTCTCGAGATGGATACGTTAAACAACCATCACGATCTTTAACAAAAATTAATTGTACGAATACTGAGTATTTGACATTAAACTATTTACAGTGTTCACATTTTATTTGCTTTATTAGAGAACTTGTTACGAAACCGTCAATATACATATTATTAATGGTACAGCCTAAAATTTTTAACATTGCAATATTTGCAGGGCATCCATTAAATTTTAATGACACAATATCAACATTTGAATGAATCTAGGTCAGAATGTGATGAATGTGACGTTGTAGGGCGGATGATAAGAGACGTAAAAGAATCCGAAGATTGGCACTGTTCATGTTCATGAAAAACTTCAAAATCGGTTGATACTTTACCTTCACTTTCATTTATATCAACTGTTTGAGTGCCTTTAGTTGAACAAGTTTGTAAAACAAAGACGGAATAAAAACATGAATGTATAAATCCACATAGTCCATCTGCCTTTACGTGAGAGTGACAAAGTAAGTCATAGAAATCCGTATGATAGACTATTACTATTATTATGAATATTAGCTTCAATATAGCCAACCTCGTCTATCATACAGATACAGGCAGATGAACTATGTGGATTTTCCAGCCGTGTATATTTAGTTTAATTTTTGAGATTGCTTTGAAGGTTTTAAAGAAATAGGAGCAATGCTGTATTGTTACATTTACCGTAAAAAATCGTTGATTTTTGGAAAAATTAAATCAAAACACACCTATGACTTAAAATGTAGCAAGTATATGTCGACTAAGTATATTTGTGAGAAACAGGAAAAGTGTGGACTTCAGATATCAGCGATTTCTACAAATGTTTTTTAAGGCAGGCCTTACTGGTCACTCTTAAATCGATACAATTGCTTTAGGCAGCTTCTCTATGCTTCATATAATAATGCTCCTGTAGTTTTAAAATCCCACTCATTACATTTGTACGTTTGAACCTGCGAAGAATCTTCTATGCGTCAGTTGATGCTTTTTGATATTATTCTTATATTTAGTTTCGTAACAGCAATCATTGCACCTGTACATTTGAACCTCTGAACGATCCTTATGTTTCAGTTGGTGCTGTATGATATTCGTCCTGTATTTAGTTTCGTAATCACAGTCATTACACCTGTGTATCGGAACCTGTGAAGGATCTTTATGCCTCAGTTGGTGCTGTTTAATGGCACTCTTGTATTTGGTTTCAAAATAGCAGTCATTACACCTGTACATTTGAATCGGTGAAGAATCATGTTTCAATTGGTGATTTTTGATATTACCTTTGTATTTAGTTTGGTAATTACAGTCATTACACCTGTACACTTGGTCCTGTGAAGATTCTTTATGTCTTAGTTGGTGTTGTTTTACATAATTCTTGTATATAGTTTTGTAGTCGCACTTGTCACACCTGTACACTTGAACCTGTGAAGGATCTTTATGCTTCAGTTCGTGGTGTTTGAAAGAATGCTTGTATTTAGTTTCATAATCGCAGCTGGTACACTTGTACATTTTAACCTGTGAGGGATCTTTATGTTTCAGTTGGTGCTTTATGATATAACTCCTGTATTTAGTTTTGTAATTGCAGTCATTACACATGTACATTTTGACTTGCGAGGCATATTCATGCATCAACTGATGACTGGTTGAAAATGCCTTGGTTGTCGAATTACATTCGTTCCCTGATCCATTTTCATGTTTACATCCTTGTGCATCTTTCCAGTCACTCTTCTGGAACGATTCATTATCGGAGCTGAGCGTGTCACTGAAAAAATTGCATATACAGGGTATTTTCCAAAGCGTGGTTTTAATTTTAAGGGGTTGTAAGTAATGCTAAATGCAATTATGACACGTCTGATTAATAATACTAATTAATAAAAATAATTATGTGAAAACCCTTAGAAATAAAAGAAAAAATTAACAAGCGCAACATATTTCATTTAAATCAAGAACGTATTTTACTGTCATCGGAAGACATCATTCCACCAATGAGAATTTTAGATATTTATGTACGTATATAAAATCAGCATGCCACTTTTAGCGAGCCGCAAAAAATGTATTAGAGGTTTTCTCACTTTTCTGTTGCTATTTTGTTACACTTAAAAAGATTTTGTATTTTCAGCTGTTTTCGAAAAAAATTACAAAATGCTGATTTAAGACTTAAGTTAACTCTTCAAGCTATTTCTTGGCTTTTAGTTCACATAGGACAACGATAATGGCCCCAGAATTTGATACTTTAAGAGTACTTCTAAAATCCATGGTCGCATTTTCGATTTGAATCACTTCTAATGGCAAAAGAAAAGGAAAAACATGAAATAAACGCGGTGGGTCTNGCTTTAACCTACAAAATGTCGGATGAAGAACAAGGTCGATAGAAAGGAAAATTTGTGACCAAAAGACAGTACGATTGCTTGAGAGTTAGAACAGAAAATAGCAAAAGCAGGGAAAAAGCTGTTGAAATCAAAATTCTGGAGCCGGAACCTCCGCACACCGTGCGAGAGCATCAACTAATCGACAAAGAGTATGTATCTTTTTGCAAAGAACTTTTACGTATTTTAGATTATCTACAAACTGGGATCACGAAGTGATTCGCGTGGAAAAGTTTAAATATGATTCAGTTACATGCATAAGTAGCATACTACTACGGATACACTTCTGTGAATACAAATGTTCCTTATAAGACAAGGGTTTAAAGTAATTACATTTATGAAAGCGTAAAACAATTTGATACATGTAGTACTATACTGGGCATACTGTGATACGGTGTTATTGCAGACAAAAATATTCTAAAAAATATACTTAAGTTATTGAATGTTACATTTAAAATGAAAAATGATATTAAAAATGTCATAATTTATCCAAATGCGTAAGATTGTTATATGTGCTGTGGTGAAAAGTATAAATATTTCATTGTTTATATGCTGCTGTATTTTTTACTTCTTGTATTGAAAGTTTATCGTACTTTATAAATAAAAATATTTCAAAAAACATACTTTATTTAAATTTCCCGCCACCTATTCGTTGCTTCTTCGCATTTATAATTTGACGGACGACAAATCAGAACTTTTTATGATTAATAATTTATTTCTCTGTGAAATGTGTGGTAATCTACATTTTTCTTTCTCTCATCTATTAATTAATGATTCAGGTAAATGTCTATATTTTTTTCGTCTTACCATTTGCATTTTTTCACCCATAATTCGATTGTAAGCATATGTATCCGATCTAAAGCCATATTGACTATTTTGTCAAGATCTTATGCTTTTCCCAAATAATTTGTTAACCAAACTTTTAATAATTGTTCAAATATTATTGCTACATTGTTTATAACCAACGTAAACCTTTAATTTATTACAATTTGTATATCACCAGCTCCATGAAGTGGCGTAGTAATTGACTGCTTCCAGTGGGATGATAAGTTTCTTTTTTGGTAACACGTTAATATTAAAAATTTTATGATATATTTATGCACCAATTTAGTTGTATGAATGACAAAGTACAGGTATTTTTTAGATTTATGCTAATAATCTTCACTCACCTTGTTTCCTCATCTTCATCTTTTATGTTCACACATTCAGTTTTGATCGACATTTCCATCTCGTTAATATCGAATTTACTGTCCAAGTCTTCAGTCTTAAAGAATAAATCAGTTGGCGGCTTATCTATTCGAATATCTATGGCTGGACTATCGAAACTACATTTAATTTTTTCCTCTACTTCTCTTAAGAAGAGGTTGTGGGTACACAGAGAATCAAAGCATGGCTTACACACAACAGGTTCTTTGATGATATTTATATCCTGCAAAGTAGTTTTTTTAAACTGCGATAAATGCAAGTATTTAATATCGTTTATACCATTTCAGGAATCAATTTCTGAATAGCTTCGTGTTCCTCTTCACTTATGCACTTAAACTCACTCTTTGGTTGCATACACAATCGACATATTTTCTGACTATCTGAAATATCCATCGACTCGCTTCCCTTCTCCTTCGTGTACACTTCTCTTATATGAAGCTGTAACATTTGTTCGCTATCCATATTTGGAATAATTGTATTGTCGTTATTTAAACATGTTGACTTAAATTCTAATGCTGCATGTAATTTTCTTCTGCAAGCATTACATATAACCTCCTTGCTTTCACCATCCAGTTTCTGAAATGTATGCAACTTTGATCAAACAGAATGAAAGTAATTAATTACAATTGAAAATAGATTGTTAAATCGTTTTACACTTGTTGAGACTGTGGTGTTAATCGAGATAGTAGGATCTAAGATACTTCACCGACTTACCAATTTTAACAAAAGCACATGTAGAATGTCTCTAGTAGCGTTGTCTATTACTTCAAAACTTTTATCGGTTATAATTGTACGACAAAGCCTGCACAAAGTTTCTTGAAGACCACTCATTGCAACAATTTTCTTTAAAATGTATATAGCACGAAAATTGTGGTGTACTTATGATAAATGATAACCTAACCTCAATTAAAGAAAGCATTTCGGTATCGGAGACATACATTAAAAGACGCAAGGTGCCCTCCAATCAGGAACAGGTGGGTGTGGCGTTTAAACCGTCAATTTTAAATGACAATTAATGCCAAGGCGCGAAAACCAAAGTACCTGTTTTCTTAACCCTTAACCTTAGTTATATGTTTTGTGCAATTGCAATTTCAATCAGCATACACTTAACAGTTCTTGCTTGTTATTTGCACAGATTATAAAGGATTTACTTAATTGTTGACAAAACATTAGTATAAAGTTGTTGACACATATTTAAAACAGCAATTTTCATTGTTGTAATTAACTATTACTTGTGCACTTAGTCCCCGCAACATGGAAATGATCAAGTAAGTATTATTCTAATCTAAAAGTGAAGCTACAAGATTCATTTTTTTATTTTTGTATGTTCGCTTTAGTAAAATTTGTCAAAAGGAATTCTCCAGTATATCCACAAAAAATAGACACATAAGGACCTTCCACGATGAAGTAACGGTAGAGAAGAAGAAACTCCAATGAATTCGGTGTCCATTGAAAAGAAATTCAGTTGCTGTGAACGTTTGATAGATCATTTGAAACAATGTCGTAAGGTAAATATAAGGGAATCTGTTTTGAGTTTCAGGAATTTTGAACACTTTGAAGCGTGGAGAGCATTAGACAATAGAGATGTGGATTGTGCGTGTTATAGAAGATGTAAAATGGTGATGAAGACATACATTACAATTGTAATACAAGTGATTCTAGAAGTAGCTATTTATATAAACATCTGAAGAACAATGTAATATGTATTACTTACATTTTTTTAGGATTTACCCATGTCACAAAAGAAACATTAAATTAGGAGGCAGCATTCGAATTCAAGGAACTTACATTTTTTTTAGGATTTACCAGTACGTGTCACAAAAGAAACATGAAATTAGGAGACAGCATTCGAATTCATGGAACATACCCATCAAGAATTGTTGTGAAAATCCAACGAAATGGTATTTATTTGTTTCATTTGAAGTAAAATTTGTTGAAACGTACGAGGGACATGTAGACGAGTTGAGAAGTAAGCATCTATTAAAAACTGAACAGAATACCCTTGTCCGACAATTGCTAGTTAAATTCAGAATTTCTATCGTTGTGCGCTGTAACTGCTATACCTATACAGGGTGCTTCACGTAACCCGTTCATTAAAAGTTTTTAACTTCCAGTTACAATAGATCTTTGAAATGTTGACAACTGTCTGGGTTTAATTCAGTCTTTGTTAATGAAATATTTTCATCGCAAATTAACGGAAGTTCCTCTTTTATAAATAATCGCGATTATCTCCGAACCCGTCGAATATAAGTACAGGAAATCTCTATATCAATCGACGCAGAATTTAATTCTACATATTCCTGACCATAGACCACCTAGACTGGCTGTATCTAATTCCAATGCACGGGTACTAGTTAATGCAAATCGCACGGAAGCGGAGGGAAGGTAATCTGACCACGCCTAGTTTGAACAAATCCGGATTAAGTAATAATTTTATTACATATTAACATTATACTGCATCTTATAACAAATACTCAATTTCAAGTTTCGAATTCAGAAAATAGTATATTTTAGTTTCATATTAAATAAAACTACAAAATAATTTAAATAATTTATTGTCCTTTAAACAACGTTAGTTTATTCAATATTTGCCTTTTCGTAGATTTTACCGAATTAAATATTTTGACTTCATTATTTATTCTCACATCAATATACTTTTCACATTCAGTCCTTACAAATTCTATTAAATGATTACAATTATTAGGGAAATTATCAAATTTTCAAATATGTTCACATTCAAAAAGATTTTTAATACATAATATACAATTTTATTGTTCTGTAGCTTGGATGTTCTGCTTTCACAGTATTAAAAAATTTTATTAATTTTTCTGCTTCTTAGCATATTACTACGTCTCGAGATGGATACGTTAAACAACCATCACGATCTTTAACAAAAATTAATTGTACGAATACTGAGTATTTGACATTAAACTATTTACAGTGTTCACATTTTATTTGCTTTATTAGAGAACTTGTTACGAAACCGTCAATATACATATTATTAATGGTACAGCCTAAAATTTTTAACATTGCAATATTTGCAGGGCATCCATTAAATTTTAATGACACAATATCAACATTTGAATGAATCTAGGTCAGAATGTGATGAATGTGACGTTGTAGGGCGGATGATAAGAGACGTAAAAGAATCCGAAGATTGGCACTGTTCATGTTCATGAAAAACTTCAAAATCGGTTGATACTTTACCTTCACTTTCATTTATATCAACTGTTTGAGTGCCTTTAGTTGAACAAGTTTGTAAAACAAAGACGGAATAAAAACATGAATGTATAAATCCACATAGTCCATCTGCCTTTACGTGAGAGTGACAAAGTAAGTCATAGAAATCCGTATGATAGACTATTACTATTATTATGAATATTAGCTTCAATATAGCCAACCTCGTCTATCATACAGATACAGGCAGATGAACTATGTGGATTTTCCAGCCGTGTATATTTAATTTAATTTTTGAGATTGCTTTGAAGGTTTTAAAGAAATAGGAGCAATGCTGTATTGTTACATTTACCGTAAAAAATCGTTGATTTTTGGAAAAATTAAATCAAAACACACCTATGACTTAAAATGTAGCAAGTATATGTCGACTAAGTATATTTGTGAGAAACAGGAAAAGTGTGGACTTCAGATATCAGCGATTTCTACAAATGTTTTTTAAGGCAGGCCTTACTGGTCACTCTTAAATCGATACAATTGCTTTAGGCAGCTTCTCTATGCTTCATATAATAATGCTCCTGTAGTTTTAAAATCCCACTCATTACATTTGTACGTTTGAACCTGCGAAGAATCTTCTATGCGTCAGTTGATGCTTTTTGATATTATTCTTATATTTAGTTTCGTAACAGCAATCATTGCACCTGTACATTTGAACCTCTGAACGATCCTTATGTTTCAGTTGGTGCTGTATGATATTCGTCCTGTATTTAGTTTCGTAATCACAGTCATTACACCTGTGTATCGGAACCTGTGAAGGATCTTTATGCCTCAGTTGGTGCTGTTTAATGGCACTCTTGTATTTGGTTTCAAAATAGCAGTCATTACACCTGTACATTTGAATCGGTGAAGAATCATGTTTCAATTGGTGATTTTTGATATTACCTTTGTATTTAGTTTGGTAATTACAGTCATTACACCTGTACACTTGGTCCTGTGAAGATTCTTTATGTCTTAGTTGGTGTTGTTTTACATAATTCTTGTATATAGTTTTGTAGTCGCACTTGTCACACCTGTACACTTGAACCTGTGAAGGATCTTTATGCTTCAGTTCGTGGTGTTTGAAAGAATGCTTGTATTTAGTTTCATAATCGCAGCTGGTACACTTGTACATTTTAACCTGTGAGGGATCTTTATGTTTCAGTTGGTGCTTTATGATATAACTCCTGTATTTAGTTTTGTAATTGCAGTCATTACACATGTACATTTTGACTTGCGAGGCATATTCATGCATCAACTGATGACTGGTTGAAAATGCCTTGGTTGTCGAATTACATTCGTTCCCTGATCCATTTTCATGTTTACATCCTTGTGCATCTTTCCAGTCACTCTTCTGGAACGATTCATTATCGGAGCTGAGCGTGTCACTGAAAAAATTGCATATACAGGGTATTTTCCAAAGCGTGGTTTTAATTTTAAGGGGTTGTAAGTAATGCTAAATGCAATTATGACACGTCTGATTAATAATACTAATTAATAAAAATAATTATGTGAAAACCCTTAGAAATAAAAGAAAAAATTAACAAGCGCAACATATTTCATTTAAATCAAGAACGTATTTTACTGTCATCGGAAGACATCATTCCACCAATGAGAATTTTAGATATTTATGTACGTATATAAAATCAGCATGCCACTTTTAGCGAGCCGCAAAAAATGTATTAGAGGTTTTCTCACTTTTCTGTTGCTATTTTGTTACACTTAAAAAGATTTTGTATTTTCAGCTGTTTTCGAAAAAAATTACAAAATGCTGATTTAAGACTTAAGTTAACTCTTCAAGCTATTTCTTGGCTTTTAGTTCACATAGGACAACGATAATGACCCCAGAATTTGTTACTTTAAGAGTACTTTTAAAATCCATAGTCGCATTTTCGATTTGAATGACTTCTAATGGCAAAAGAAAAGGAAAAACATGAAATAAACGCGGTGGGTCTGAAAAATTAAAAAAAAAATATATTTTATTAATGTTACATCAAAAAAAATTATTATTCATTCTACTATTTTTTGAGAAATATAACTAAAAGTTTCCAAAAATGTTTTACTTTTATAAATGGTGAACATTTCGACAGATTTCATTAATGGCATCGGTAAAAGTGGCCTGCTGACTTTATAGATGTCCCCAAGAACTTCAAATAGTCATTTGATAACCAAGCAATTGGCTTTATCTGCAATCCACGTGAAAGTTAGTAAAGGGGTAGTACTTACAGTTACACAAAAACTAATTTGTATTTTTATCTGCTCACTCAGTGAAGTTAATTGTTTAAAACGGACAATCAGATTTATTAGAAATTATGCGTTTTAGTAATACCAGTTCAGGCAACATTTTAGAATGTCCCTCGCAACATTTGAAGTCCTTTTAATATTAATTAACAATCTGTAAATGTTAGGTCTAGTGTATCTTTAAGTGGTGGGTCAGTTTTTAGGGGTAATAGTACGTGTTCCATTGAATACGAATCTGAAATTCTTTTTTTTTAATGAAATAAATAGTCGAGTTACAATTAGTTTTTTTAAATGTACTTTAATACTTGTGTACGCCGCCACTGTAATCATGTATTACAAATACATGAATTGTAGGCAACTTACAATGCATGTGAAGGGAGATAGTGTGGGTCAACAGTGACGAAGCGAAGGACGTCAGTTGTTGTTCGCATTTGAAGACAGTACACCTAACTGAGAATTTGAATGTTTTTCGTCGCTGAAAGTCATCAACAGCCTATTTATTTTTGTGTATTTCATTTATCATTATTGATTACTGCTTGAATTAGGTTACTTGTTAAATACTGTTTGTGTGGTGTGGAATCGTACATGCGTTGCAACTAAAGCGCGCGGTTATTTGATGTTACACTAGTGTTAGTTTTTACGACAGAATTTGAAAAAATAAACTATTGATATGTATTTCTAAAGGTCAAAGGAAGCCTCTGCACAAACATGACCCCCACTCAAAGTTACACCTCGTATAGTTGATTTCCTTAAATTGAATTATCCGTAACTTTGGGTAAAGTTACAGTTTGTGTGAATAAAACAATCAAAACGTGTCTCTTGTTCAAAAAAGCACTTTTATGTCAAGAAATATATAAATATATATAAGGGTGGTAAATGAATCTGAAAAATTTTGATGTCATTTGCAATTTCCTCAAGGTGCGAAAAACACAATCTTTAACTCACTTGAAGCTCCAATTACGAAATCAAAAGGGAATGGAGCTTCAGTTTGACGTGTATTAAAATGGGTGAAACATTTTTTATTCGACTGAGATTGTAACAATACAATTTTGTGTCAGAATGGACCAAAAAGTTTAGAAACCTTGCTTCAATTCAATTATCATCTTAAACATTTGCCCTTTCTCTCTAATTTGTAATACACTTGATAATTTCCTCAAGTTTCTAGATTTCGGAAATTTTCAAACGTGTTTTTCTCGAAACGACATTTTTTTGCTTCACGGGAACTCTACGTCAAAAAGTTGTGAACCGATCTTTATGAAAATTGAAAGTGTGTTTCCTTATGAATTTACAAAGAACATGAACCAAAATTGGGATGATATAATAATTTTAAGGTAAAAAATAAGTAAAAAAAATGTTGAAAATCCATACATTTTTTTTTAAACGTGGTAAAACTTCAATTTTCACAATTTTTATCCGAAATGAGGTTCATATTCTTAGAAAACATGTTAATAATGCAGGCAAACAACCATTTTGTTTTCAGAACAAAATTGCGACCTCCACATTTCCCATGAACAACCAACTCGGACAACAGCTCAAAACATCAGCGTTTTCAACACAAATAACATGAAAAAATTTGTAAATGTAGTTCAATATATTAATAAAGCAATGTTAAAATTTTATCAAATTCTAATCTATATGACCCACTCCAAAAAATTCTTGAAGAATGTCTGAAAATCAGTCTCCTAATGTGGTTTCCCCGCTTGTGTAAATCGTGACAGTACCATGATCAGGTACTGCACCATTTATTAAATTAATGTAAAAGTCCTTCCTTACCTCCTTTCCTCGTCTTCAACTTTTATGTCTATACTTTCAGTTTTTATTGGCATTTCCATCTCGTTTATATCGAATTCTTTGTCCAAGTTTTCAGTCTTGGCGAATAAATCAGACAATGACATATTCATTTGGCTTTCTATGGTCGAACTATCAATAGTACCTTTAATTGTTTCCTCTACTTCTAAGCAGTTTTTTAGGAAACTGTTGTAAGTATCGAAGCATGGTTTACATACAACAGGATCTTTGATGATATTTATATTCTGCAAAATAGTTTCATTAAATTGAAATAAATGCAAGTATGCACCTAAACTCAGTATTTACTGGCTGCATACACATTCTACACTATAACAGTGTTGTGGTTACTGAGAGGAGGACGAATTCAGAAAGTAGAAACGAACATCTTTCACCAATTTACCACTTTCAGCAAAAGAACGTCTAGAATGTCTAGTAACGTTGTTTATTATAAAACTTTTATCGGTTATAGTTTTAACGCAAAGCCTACACGAAATTATTTGAACGTCAGTCATTGTAACAATTGAAATTTTTGTAATAAACAATAAACCACCCACGATTCGTATTGGTTGTTTAATACCTCAATTAAAATTTCATCTTCTTCTTCTAAATATGGCTATTGTGTATTTAGCCACAAACTATTTCTATTGTTACTAATTTCACTGGGCCGGTGTAATTTACAGTACGTCTAGAATTCCCATGTCCTTCGCCTTCAGCTTGGGATTAATCTCCATTAGTGATGAATAATTCTATTTCGTCCTTGAAATATTTATTTCAAATCAAACTTTCCGCACTTTATCACAATTACTCCACTTACTTCATTTAAGAGTTTCAATCTTCCTCTTCTATTCAAGGAGCAATAAGAACGATGAAATTCTACTTTATAATTCATGGACATACTACGGACAAGAATGATGTTACCGTAACAATTTTTTGCACGACTCCAATGCACTTCTTTAGAACATGGCGCGTTCTGTTTACATCCGAGTAATTTGTACGTATTTCTTTTTGACCTGCACTATGTTGTACTCGATGATGAAATATGTAGGGAACATCGTTTGTACCTTAATAAAACCTCAATATTTTACGATTGATGTTTCTTCGTTCTTCTTGAGCAAATTAAATAGTACATCCGAATCCGTATGTTAATACAAAATATGAAGCAAAAACATTTTACGAGACTATTAACTAGATCGCTTGGGATGATTTTATAAATCCAATGTTTCCCTAAAAATTAATAACTCGCTTTGACAAAAGAACGCCAGAAGAAAGGGCCCTAGCCGGCGGGGCCCAGCCAGGACAAAAGGAGGTCCCACAAAGCGCCTACACCGGCCGCATTTGCGGTCGGGGTAGACGACGAATGGGGCCCACCTACGAAGGCTGTCCAGGCCTACACGAGATGAGGCGGGATAAAGAGGGATAATCCCCCTCGATCCCAAATCATTGAGACCAATTTCTAGCCATGGAATAATGGCGCGGCGCGCTTTGACAAAACACATAATTCTTAATTACACAATAAGCACTATTCGTACAACACAGTTAACCATTTCGAGAAACCCTCCGTTTTAGTTCTCAAATCTCAGAGAAAAAAATTCTTCCCGTGTGGCAGAAATTTCCTGTCAAATAAAAACATAAAAAACTGATATAGGTGTCATGTGATTCTTTTCGAGCTTAGTGGTACAAACATTTCTCATATTTGACCGATTGCCACTTTTATTGGCTCCTTTATTTTAAATGTTTCTCGAATGTGAAGGTCGTGGTTTTAAATTCTATTAGTTAGGATGAAATCGATGTTAACGGAAACATAGTTCATACTAAACTCTTTATTATTCCAATCGTGGATTACAATCTCTTGTAAAATTATAGAGGATGAAAATGCATTGCCATTACAGAAATCGTCCGGATGTAAGTCTTTAACCGTAGTGTTATTTTCTTTGCAATGTTGCAAATAAAAATAAAATAAAATGGCAGTACTTTTCCACTTTTACAAAGTAAAACTTACATTCTAAGTACAATTAAATCATTGTTTATTTTATGTTTATGTAATATGTACAATATGACACTCTACGTAATATAATACTTTTGTATGGTGTCGATACAAAATAAAATGTAAATTAAATTATATTTTAACATTCATAACTGGTATTAGCCATTTCTACAAATGCTAGTCCAAAATTAGCTTTAGTTTGGGTAAGATTTTCATGTTGTTGAAGGCAATATCACGTTTTACTTCACATTCACATATTTCAGGTTGGTGTCATATTCACAGCAGTCAATTTCAAATGCCTGCATTTTTGACTGTATTTTGAACTTCAATGGGTGGTAAATCACACCTGCCAAAGTTTTTCGTGTACCAATTCAGGTCTTCTCAAAGACTTTGGTTCTTAACAAAGCATACTGGTAAAATTGCATTTAAGAAAGGCCTCTATGATTTAACAAGTGATATTTAATACAGCTCCTGTATTTGGATTCAGTCACAGTCAAGCCTGTACATTTGAACCTACAAAGAATCTTTATGTGTCTGTTGCTGCTTTTTGATAGCATTCCTGTATTTAGTTGCAGTCATTGTACCTGTACTTTTGAACCTATGAAGAATCTTTGGTTCAGTTGATGTCTTTTGATAGCATTCGTGTATTTAGTTTCGTGACTGCAGTCCTTACACCTACATCTGAACATGAGAAGACATTTTATGTTTCAGTTGATGCCGTTTCATATCACGTTTGCATATAGTCTTGTAACCGCAGTTGTCACACCTGTCCATCTTAGCTTGAGAAGGATCTTTATGTTTCAGTTGATGCTGCTTGATATTACTCCTGTATTTAGCTTCATAATCGCAGTCATTACATCTGTACATTTGAACTTGCGAAGGATCTTTATGTTTCAGTTGGTGCTGTTTGACATAACTCTTATATTTAGCTTCATAGTCGCAATCGTTACACCTGTACATTTTAACCTGAGACGGATCTTCGTGTTTCAGTTGATGCTGTTTGATATTACTCTTGTATTTAGTTTCGTAATCGCAGTCGTTACACCTGTACATTTGAACCTGAGAAGGATCCTTATGTACCAGCTGGTGCTGTTTGACATCACTATTGTATTTAGATTTGTAACTGCAGTTGTTACATGTGTACATTTCAACCTGTGAAGATTCTTTATGTTTCAGTTGGTGTCGTTTGATATGTTTCTTGTATTTAGTTTTGTAATTGCAGTCATTGCATCTGTACATTTGAACTTGCAAAGGATCTTTATGTGTCAGTTGATGCTGCTTTATAGAACTTTCGTATTTAGTTTTGTAATCGCAATTGTTACACTGATACATTTCAATCTGTGTAGGATCTTTATGTTTCAATTGGTGCTTTTTGATATAGTTCCTGTATACAGTTTTGTAATCGCATTCGTTACACCTGTACATTTGAACCTGAGAAGGATCTTTATGTTTCAGTTGATGCTGTTTCACATCACGCTTGTATTTAGTTTTATAATCACAGTCATTACAATTGTACATTTGAATCTGTGAAGGATCTTTATGTTTCACTTGGTGCTTTTTGATATAATTCTTGTATATAGTTTCGTAATCGCATTCATTACACTTGTACATTTGAACCTGAGAAGGATCTTTATGTTTCAGCTGGTGCTGCTTGATATCACTCCCGTATTTAGTTTTGTAATTGCAGTCGTTACATGCGTACATTTGAACCTGTGAAGAATCTTTATGTTTCAATTGATGCCGGTTCATATGACTCTTATATATAGTTTTGTAATCGCAGTTGTCACACCCGTACGTTTGAACTTGTGAAGGATCTTTATGCCTAAGCTGATGCAGTTTGATGTTACCTTTGTGTTTAGTTTCATGATCGCAGTTGTTACACTTGTATATTTTCACTTGCGGGACAGCTTTATGCATCGACAGTTGACTAGTAAAAAGTTTCTTATCTTTTGATTTGCAGTCGCAACGATTGCATTTATAATTTGGCTGTTGTGATGTGCCCTCATGTAGCAATGCACTGTATTTGGTTTTACAATCACACTCGTCACATTTGATTGAGTCTTTGTGTTTTTTATAATGATTATTAAAGCTGGACCTCCACTTTGTTTTGAAGTCACACAAGCCGCACTTGTACAATCGTGCTGTAGATGCACTTTTGTGTTTCACCTGATGCTTAGCAAGGTAGGATTTATGCTTTGTCTTGTAATTACATGATTTGCACCGGTGCACAAGTAGTTCCAGGGATTTATGCCTCAACCGGTGCCACTGAAGTAATTTCTCATTTTCAGTTTCAAATTTACACGATTCACATTTATACGCTTCCGAACAGTTCTCGTGTTTCGCACAGTGTACTGCAAAACTGCTCGTGCTTCCAGTTTCGTAAACACATTTATCACATTTGTACAATACTTTGTGCTCCTGCACGGATTCCTTTTCTGATCCAATCTCAAGTTTACACCCATCCTCTTCTACATCTTTACACACACTCTCCTCGAACGGCTCATTGTTGGAGTTATGTGTGTCGCTGAAAAAATTACATATACAGAGCATTTTTCAAAGTGTGGTCTTAATTTTAAGAAGTTGTAGTTAATGCTAAATGTAATTACATGTTTGTCAGATTCACAAGACATTATTTCATTTCTATTATGATTAAATCAAATTACTTATGGCAAGTCGGGATTGTATCAAAGATATTTGGAGGATATAAAATTTCACCATTGAGAATTTTAGATATTTATGTACGTATATAATATATAATGAGCAGATCACTTTTAGCAGCCTGCAAAAAAAGTATTAGAGGTTTTCTTACTTTTCTGTTGTTATTTTGTTACCCTAAAATGAGTTTTGTACCTTAAGCTGTTTCGAGAAAACTATAAACTGCTGACTGAAGTCTTATGATCCACGTGATGGTGTAGTGAAAGGTTATTTCCATTCACTTGAATTTGCATATGCTGTGCTTTAACTCTGCCACATTATATCGTTTACATACATACAGGGTGCAACTTTCAGTGAAGGTTAGTTTTTTACGGGCAATAGTACGTGTTTTCCTGAATACCAATTTGAAATTCTTTTTTTTTTTAATCAAATAAATACTGTGCTTTAATTCTTGTTTACAGCACTCCCGGAATTTACATATGAAGTTGTATTCGTTACTGCCGACGTTGTTTTTTTTATACCAACTTCATTGAGCAAAGTTAAGAAAAAATTTAGCAAATCAGATTTCTTTTGTATAATTTACGGACTTGTTATTTTAAAGCCATCACATTTTTTTTTCATATTGTGGTAGAAAAACCGAATTCGTAAAAATAAAAAATAAAGATTTACATAATTTATTAAATATTAACTAATACTGGTACGTAGATGCGTTAATAATTGTAAATAATTTTTTTTAATCAACTGTTACACAGCGGAACTGCTAACAACAATAAAAAATAAATGAAAATACTAATCTGATTAATATGAATAATTTTTTTTAATAATCGTTTCAAGTTTTTACAGACATTTTCCTTACTTGGTCTAAAATGGTTTTTAAAGTCCTGAAGTCCGTATTTTAGAGCACAATTTTTATTTTTAACATGTTGATAAACGGTTGATAACAACATCATAATCTCAACTGATTTACTTTTCATCGCTTCCAACAATCTTATTAGATTAATATTAAAAGCCTTTTCTTACCTCCTTTCCTCATCTTCTGATTTTATGTCCACAATTTCAACTTTAATTGACATTTCCATCTCGTTAACATCGAATTCTTTGTCTAAGTTTTCAGTCTTAATGAATAAATCAGATGGTGACGTATCCATTTTACTTTCTACTGTTGAACTGTCGATAATACCTCTAATTTTTTCTTCTACTTCTAAGCAGTTTTTTAGAAAACTGTTGTGGATGCACACGGAATCGAAGCATGGCTTACATACAACGGGATCTTTGATGATATTTATATTCTGAAAAGTAGTTTTATTAAGTTGGGATAAATGCAAGTATTTTATATCATTCGTACTATTTCAGGAACCAGTTTCTCAATAGCTTCTAGTTGCTCTTCTCCTATACAGGTAAACTCAGTATTTACTGGCTGCATACACAATCGACATATTTTCTGAATGTCAGAAACATCCATTACCAACTCATTTCCCTTTTCCTTGATGTACACTTCTCTTAAGTCGAGCTGTAACATTTTTTCCCAGTCCACATACGGAATAATTGTGGTATCGGTTTTGACACATGCTGACTTAAAATCTACTGCTGCATATAATTGTCTTCTGCAAGCATTACATATAAACTCTTTGCCCTCTGTATCTAATTTCTGAAATATATGCAACTCTAATTAAATAGAATCAAACTAAGTGTGACAGAAAATCACAGGTGAAAATAAAATTGATTACTGTTAGCGTTAAGTCGCTGTACACGAGTTGTGATTACTGAGAGGTGTACGAAAATGGAAATGAACATTTTTCAACGACTTACCAATTTCAGCATAAAAACATCTAGAATGTCTCTAGTAACACTACCTACTACTACAAAACTTTTATCGGTTATAGATTTAAGGCAAAGCCTACATGAAATTGCTTGGACACCGGTCATTGCAACATATTTTCTTCCAAATTTATATAATTCCATTAATTCGTGTTGTTCATGTTTAACATAACCTCACCTAAACCTTCATCTTCTTCTTCAAAATATGGCCTGACGAGATTGTGTATATAGCCACACGGACTATTTATCTTGTTACTAATTTAACTGGGCGGGTGTACCACTGAACCAGTATGCAGGAGAGACGCCTGACACGAGGCCACGAGGGACACTGACAAAGGCATCGAGTACCACACCTTCACCTCAGCGATGAAAAAACGCTGAGAGTGGTAATACGCGAAATACCATACGACAAGGCTTCCCCGACGCAGTAGTGCACCGTATGGCCAAAAAATTTTTTTAGTTACTTATTTTACAATTTCCCATTGAGCATTTCAAATGTCCACATGTCGAAATTAAAATTTTTTTTTTAATTATACTGAATCTGTTCTGTTCAGTTTTGTTGCGGTTTTTTCCTTCGCATGCCGTATTTCATCGAGTTACAATAAATTGCATTAATTTACATAAGTTGATGCCCCAAATGAATCTTCATGAATTTTTTTACATGCATCGCTTAGAATTTCAGTTCCTAGCGGGCAGCCGACCAGAGCACACGTGTTTTGTGAAAGTGTAGTGCAAGGAGCAATTTCTACCTGCCTTTATTAAGGCTAC